CATGCGCAATCGATAAAAAACGGTCGATTTTGTGGTTATTTTCAGGGAAAATTCGCTAGAAATCAGTCGATGGGCTTTGCGCTGATTAGACCAGCATTTTTAACGTTTTTCTAACAGAGGTCATCATTTGCTCTTTCAACAACAATACGCTCCAGAAATAAACCAATGCCAAAGCCTTTAACATCATGGCTAATGCCCAGTTTTTCGCAACATAATTTCGCCTGGTAGTTTCGGGACGTTGTTTGCACGTTTCAGTGACGAAGTTTCAAGATAAATTTGTTGAGATAGGTTCCAAATATGTTGTACAGACATGTATTTGATAAGATTTCTACAGAATTTCGAGGTATTTTCGAGGTATTTTTCACACCAATCCGCAACACTGACCACGAGTCTTCGTATTTGAGACGGAAAGTATATGGTTAAACTTTCCTGTTATAATTTCCTAAAATAGACCCTTTCGTGGTGTCAAACTTTTATAAAAAGAAACAGCGACGAAAACCTCCGACACTGCTAGAAAGGGCGCCTTGAATTATCCTTGCCGAGTTTAAGAGCCCGGATATGTCAGAGGCAATCGAAGCTTTTGCACCGCAAAGTCGCCAAATTTTATACAAACCCGATCCCTTTGGCAAATAAACTGATTTTAAGAAGCTCTATCCAGCAGAGTCCATGGATTTTTGCTATTTGCATAGATCTGAATTTCAAGTAAAATCTAGTTATGATGTTGACCAATATGTTGTTGACCATTTTGCAATATGTTGACCATTTTGAATGACGTCAGGGAAGCTGCCCTCAGCGTCATATCTTATAATATATATGGATCATCTGGTAGAGAGAGCTCGTCGGCTTGTGTGTCGTTAATGATTACTTACACCGAACACCATGCTTACAACGAATTTCCAATTCTCTCCTTATGATGACTACGAAGGGTGTTAACGATTGAGTGGTATTTTGTATATTTAGCACACCAAGCATGGGCAGGCCAGAAAATCATGCCAGAGCCACCATAATAATAATAATAATAATAATAATTAATTAATTAATTAATTAATTAATTAATTAATTAATGATAATAATAAAAATAAAAATAATAACAAGAACAACATGGTATTGATTGTCATTACCCACATCTTTTATATCTGTCCGTGAATTGTAAGTCACGAGTTAATTGTCCGTGAATTGTAAGTCACGAGTTAATTGCACCAGCTGTCAACTTCTGCTTTTGCTTGAGCTTACTACATTTGTATTTTAGAGCTGATACAAAAACAATAACAATGTAGGCTAAATTTATCCAAATATTTATCCAGATATTACGAAGTCGAAAGGAACTGTTTAAAATAGATAGATCTGCTTTAATGTGGTCGGGAAAGCGTCGATGCTGTGTGGGGAGAAAAGGTACATATATATACCTTGCAAACTCAGTAAGTTTAAGTTGTCAATAAGTAACTGTTCTTACCTACCCTCCTTAGACCAAGCAATGATACTATTTTTGAATGTTCTTTTTCGAACTACCTACTGATCAGACTAACGTAGTTTCAGTTCTAGATTAGTGCAGATAAGGTGATAGGATTTACGTTTTAGGCAATGTTTCTTGCAACTTGTTTCCCAAAATTTACGAGACAAGGGTTGTAAAAAAATTATCTATTGTTTAATCGATTTATTGTACTAGTTTAGACACACAAGGCGGTTAGGGTGATTTTTTTTTACTTAACCCGTGAAATAGTTAGTAGAATACTACGCGCTATGATGCACTAATTCTATTGTCTTGTCCTTGTTTATTTGTAGCTATTTTTCAAGTTGTTATTAACTGTGTTGTTCACGGGCCGAGTAAAATCGCTCTAATTGCAAACAACCAGGGGTACCCAACGACCGAATGTTTCTAAGACGTCAGGGGTGTTTTCTCAATTGGTTTTTGCTTTAGAAGCCTGTTTCGTTAATCTGGGGCTGCCCTTTATGAAAACTATGTATGTATGTATGTACGTATGTATGTATTCATTTATTTGTTGTATTGTTGGTCGACGATGCCAATGTTCTCTTTAAGTCCTGTTGAAATATCTATCCCCTATAGTGGTTTCTGCGGCTTAGTTATAGATCAAAGAAGGCTTCGAAACCCGTGACGCACTCGCCTGAAGCTCTCTACCACTTTATCCGGTTTTATAATCCACGTTTTGATGTCATCCATGATCTATTTAAATTGAAATTGCCATTAGCGAATTCCTCATTTTTGTTTTTACAATGTCACATTTGTCTAACTTAAAAATGACCAAATAACAGACGTCAGACAAACATTGTGAAAGTCCATTCTCAAATTTGGCCAAACAACGTCGAACATTTCAACATTTTCAAGTGACGAAACAAAGGATCCCTCATTTATTGTTAGACTTCTTAACCATGACAGAAGATGTACATTTTTAACTTAGAATAGATCGACACATATTACAATAATTGGTTGGTTTTGGGTTTGGAGTTTGGCCTTACCCTTAGCCACGCTGACGCCATTTGTGCACTTAAGTTGCTATTTAAAAAGAACGCTGCAAAAAGGAATTCATTTGTTAAATACAGTTGACGCCACAGTTAAATATAGGAGACAATAAATGTTTAGACGAGACAATTCTCCCCCAATCGTTCGTATTTCTAACTACAATGTGAGAAACGGAAAAATTTGTATCCAATCATGTTCATGACATGGTAACATAACCCATTGTATTGATTAATATTCGTTTGAATTAGATGATATATGTTTGTTTTGGCATATTTTTAGATGAAACATGATCTTGTCCTCAATTTGACTTCAGTTTTCGTTTCTGTTTCCGTTTCCCCGAACCAACCAACTCTATTTTGAAATTGTTTGGAAAGTACTTTAATTCTATTTAAAAAATGCTTTAAGTTCCAGGCATTGCTGTTATATTTTACCCATAAAACCAAAATAGTTATAGGAGCTTCAAAAGCGACGGCTGATATTAGATGATATTAGAACCAACCAACTCTATTTTGAAACTATTTGGGAAGTAATTTAATTCTATTTTAAAAATGCTTTAAGTTCCAAGCATTGCTGTTATATTTTACCCATAAAACCACAGGCAGCCCAAGCTCACGTCACATGGAGCTCACATGGATTCCCATACAAATCCTTTATAAATTCATGGCCGCCATGTAACCCAATACCGCTTTCGTTGAACAGTCACGTCCCGGCTCGCACACCGCTAATAATTAATCTAATCCTTTCACGTGACGTGAGCTTGGGCTGCCTGTGATAAAACCAAAATAGTCAGAGGAGCTTCAAAAGCATACAGACAAGAAGTAGTGAAGGCAGGGATTCCCATCAGTAAAATCGACAAGCTACATTCTCTGCTAGAGTAAAATGGGCATCGCCTTGCCAGCAGCTAATATAATCTTGGGCAATATATTACCCTTATTTTCAAGCAAAAAGTGGAGAGGATAAATAAGGAATTGTCTTTGCCGGGACAAGGAGGCTCGACAAGAGACGTGTTGGTGATATTCGAAGGGAGTACAAGACAAGGCGAGGCCATTGCAGTAATCGTTCGTTTTATTGTCGACGTATGGGGGATAACGCACAGTTCAATAAGGATCGACGTTTGCTCGAAGTCGAATTTATTAATGTATAAATTCTCACGAAACTAAAAATCTTTCTTCTTAAAACAAGATCCAAATTGCTACTTATTTAGCTTCATCCATATAAAATGAAGAAATTCCGGCGAGTCTGGTTTAGAGATTCCTACCACATGAAATGCGCAACGCTTAAAAAGGTTTTGTAGTTGAGTTATAAAATTGATCATTGTTAATTTGATACAGTATATTGAGTAGTATGGCTAATATAAAATCTGTCAGTAATGTTCATCTGTTCCCAGCAAAATGTAAACAGTGTGAAATTTTGATAGGTTCTCCTTACGCTTGAATTAACATTCGCTAGCTTTATGGACATTTCTTTTCCGACTTCAAGCATTTTTTTTTTTGTTTTATAATACTGTAGTATCTGTTCTTTTGTGTGCGTTGAACGCGATTCCGGAACACAACAAAAAGATGAAACTAGATATAAATTAACCTGACAACAATGTGGGTTTGTGTATTTAAAAATTTCCGGCGAAAAAGGGAAGATAAAATTCTTAGTCCGAGGAACTATTATAGTTTCAAACAACAGCTTTGTGAAATTTTACGTTCGCGAACCTAATATTTGTTTACTCCTCAGCAGGAATACACTAAACTATCAATTGATCTTCGACAGAAAGTTTTATTGCTTGAATAAAACTTAAAACATACAAATACGATAAATCAAGAATGGAGAGAAGTAAAATTGCTGACCTCCACTTTCGATAGGTTAGGCTTTGCCCCTGACATGTTTCGTTTCCTCACGCTTGGGCATATTGGAAAACACATAATATTAAATAAGCTTAAAAAAAATACAAAAAAAAATTGTTTTTGCTTCCCACTACCCATATCGACCTTTCCTCAAGGTAGAGGCCCATTCTATACTTGTCATTGTAAATATTGCCGCAAACTTTCTGGTCTGTGTCATCATTGTGAGGAATCGAGATATGAGGTATGTGGACAAAAAAAAGGTGCTTGATTTGATTTTAGAGAGAAAATGTGACGGCTTTTCTTTGGGACAAACGAAACTGACGGTCTATACGAGTGTCCGTATTAAGCCCGTGACCGTAGAGCGGGTTTCTACTGTTCCCTCTTCTTTATGTACTTTCTGAGCAGCTGTAACAAATTGTTAATGCTTTATTCTACAGGACTTCACTCAACTATCTTATTCTTAATCTGGCTGTTGCGGATAGCACAACAGCCGTCTTCTTACCACCAAGGTACATATTTTCCCAGTTCATGGCACAGCTGATGGCACAACCAGAAGGAACAGCAAGCACCGGGCTCTGCATTGGGTTCACTGGAGGAATCATTGGATGCGTCGGCGCCGCCACTGGAGTATTTTGTGCGGTTGCTATAACAGTTAAACGTTACTATGAGTTTATCCATTTGAAAACATGGCGCGGCTTAGTAAACGTAAACTTAAGGTGTGATTATTTCAATTTGGCATAAATTGTAATAGTACTATGCGCATTTCCATTTGCTTATATCAAAAGGCACAATGTAATTCCAGAAATCATCCCGCCCTGCAGTCTAGCATTCAGTTAGGCTATGAAGTGTTTCGTATAATACTGAAAAATGGTTTCCTTAAGTGTTCGTTCTTTATTTTATCATTCAACAGGTGAAAACCCTTTATATGGAGAAAAGCATCGTTCCATTGTTCAATTGGCTACTCAGTATTTGTTCCCCATGTCTTGGAAAATAACATTTAAGCAATCTCTGTTTCTCATGTGAGATTGTTTATGTCTGTTTGATACGCCAATGAAATTTTTATGTTCTTTCTTATGTTTGTTGTTTTGTTTTGTTTTTTTTCATGCGTAACCGTTGCAAGGTCAAACGAAAATCACTCTATCATGCAAGCAGATAACTGGATGATCTGTTGGGTGCGCGCGAAATGCATGATTCGTCTGCCAGGCAATGCCAAGATCTCGGGTGACGAGTGCGATCTTTGACCGCAACAAAAGAATAAGGCTCGTCTGATTGTTAGCTTGACTTAATAATAAATAAATTAATTCTTTGAAGACTATAATGATATAAATAATGATAATGACGATGCTGATGCTGATGATGATGACGACGATAATAATACCTTATCACCAGTGTTACTTGAACCGGACTGAGAATCATTTCATTTTTGACTCTTTAAAAAAATGATGACAGTTTCAAGGAGTTATTGCTTTCAACGAGTGATAGTTTAGATGCTCTTTAGGAACTCATAACTGGTCGAGAATTAATATTTAGTCTAGTCGCAGATATACATGTAAAGTTAAACCATTAAGGAAAAGTAGCTAGCAATTTGCTGATATGCAGACTTGTTTGTGCTCCATAAAATAACCAAACCATACAAAAAGGGACTAAATATTTTTCAAACAGTGCAATGAAATAATCGCAGTTCCTTTCTGTTAAGGACAGAGGTCCATAGTTTTACTTTCTCTTTCAGTTCTTCTTTTTCTATGTTCTTTTGGAAGCTTGACTAAGTTATCATTCATCAAAACTTCGTCAAAGTTGAGGAGACTTCATTACGATTGGCAAACAAGCGCTAGCGTTACTCCCATGTTGTGTATAAAAAAAAAAAAAAAAAACAGGAAAATAAGCGCACGCACAGTCGTCCGAGACATGTTGTTCCTAATTTTTTTTTTTTTTCACATTACACCAGTGAATATTGGAAAGCGTTTAGTCTCTTATAAAACACTGGCATGGCATCCACAAAATGAATAAGATTAAGTGTATAGAGCAACCCCTACGCTTCTCTCGTAATCTCCGAACTTTTCGCATGTATCGACGGCTCGATATATTTAACCACTGGTTCCATGCTGCCATGCGTCTGTTCAGTACAGTAGTAGATCACAGACTGACGTGGCGAATGGTAAAATCCGAGACTCGCCGAGACGCCGAGATCCTAGTTAGAGATCCGGGCCCGAGACTCTTTGGTGAAGAGTTTCGACACTCAAAAAAAGTAAAAGCAAACCATGAAAAAACGAGACTTCGAGACTTATCAAAAACGCTTCCGAGATTTCGAGATCCTGCCAAAATTTTCCGAGACCCACGTTTTTCGAGGTACCATTCGCCACCCCTAAAAGTGTGAAACACGACGGTGAGGAGGTGAGTGTGTCACTAATGTTCTTACCACACTTTTTGTTCGCTTTTATTCGTCTTAAACAAGGGAATAAAAAGAAATACGACAAAATGCCTCATAACCGCTTCTTAAGTGTTCAGTGGATTAGTTTAGGTAATTTCCAGGTCAGAAACACTACGTTTCGTCTCTACTTCTCCTTTTCTTCTTTATCTTACTTGTGGACAGTTTCTCCCAAAACTTTTTTAAGGCCTTCACTAGCTCAAATAAGAATAATTGCCCAAATAATTTTTAAAACTGCGAGTTTTTCGTAGCAAGGACACACGATCATGGCAACCGCTGTGAAGATTTCTCAGTTCCAGTTTCCACCTATAAGCCTGTCAAGCGCCATTCGTGTGTCTATAATGGATCATAAGCAAGTTTGACCAGTCACAGAGCGCGTAGCTTTTAATTTGCTATGGGCTCTTGCTACATTGCATAAACGCACGCTGAGCATGAACCAATTCTTACTTGGTATGCATTTGTTGGGTAGTCTATTGTTACGATTCCAAAATTAATCCACTTTATGTTTTAAAAAGTTATCAATTTACGGAATACTGATGTGCCAGTTTGATTTGTCTTGATTGAATCACACCACCAGGACAATAGATGGAGCTCATTCAAAGTTTCCACAAAACTATATATACAATTATAGGCGCGAAAGGTGTCGTATAATTAGCACAAGTGATAAATATAATAGAAAATCTCTGACATATTGTTATGGATTATTTCTGTGACCAGGCAATCAGAAGTACAATATCTCAATGAATTTTGAATTTAAAAATCTCTTACAACCAAAAGAAAAATATCTGAAGGGCTAAAGCCGTTCTCATCTAAACATCTCAGTAACAAATAAAATTGCGCTAATCCTCCATCTTCTACAACGCGAAGTAACTCAATATAAGAGTTGGAAAGAAAGTAACGGATTTTTAAAAGTATTAATTGCGTAATGTAGTGTTTAGTGTATGTAGTACTATTGTGGAAATTAAATGTGTAAAGGAAATCTACAAAAAAAAAGTTTGGAAAAAAGTAATGATTAAGCGAGCGTGGGGAGAAATCATACACTCAAAAATGACACGTAATATGATATCTAGAAAAACATTCGCTGTAATTTCGTCCTCACAGCTACAAATAAGCAAAGAGTCATTATTATCTGCATAATGGCAACCATTGAGATAGGCGACTTTTGTTTGGTCTTCAGATCGGTTGACCGGCTGTGACCAACGGGTTCAAGGATAAACTTAACGGGAATTAACGCAATGCACGTACGGTCTCCCTGAGCAACTTAGCAACAGAGACTGGAGAAAATCACAGAGGATGCAAGGCTCATCGGCATCTAGTCATGTGGAAATAATAAGATGTATAAGTCGAGCTTATACTTGGTGAATTAAAACGATGTTAATTAAAATAGTACTACTGATAGCGTACAACAGCTGAAATCAAATGGAAAACCTACTGAAAAGTATCTCTCTTGAGGATTTGATCGTAGTACTAGCCGTTATGGTTACTTCAAAGTCGAGAATTCTAAACGAGAGGAAAGGTAAGATATTTCAGAGGTGACTTTAAGTTCGCGTGCGCTGGCTGTTTTTGCTGTTTCGAAACATCTTTATACAAGAGGTCATAAGACAGACAAAAGATTCAGTCTGAAGTCGTGCCACTGAATTCTCTGTTGTGTATTCTATACAAATTGCCAGCCGAGGTTAAAGTTTGTTCCTTTTTGTATACGTTTTTCGTTTTGCTTTGGTAAAATATATGCCAAATCATTTCGCTACTTCTAAACCTATATACACTGCAAATGCATGGGCAAACTTTTCGCAGTTGTCTTTTCTACTGAACATTGAGTTCACACAAACCATGACAAAATTCTCGTCAGGAACTGATGAAAACTAAATAAATAAATGAAAAGCTAGCAACGCCTGTGGACATTATTCAATTTTAATTTGTTCCTACTAAACATTCAAGTTTACTGTTCAGGTTCCAAGAACTGCACTGTATTAATAACAAGGCAATTTGTGTAAATAAGACCTTCTATTTTTTACTACTTATAAACTGTCTTGGCATTGATTATTTTCAATCAGTAACGACTCGTTTCGTCCGGATACACTCGATTTTTAAATAACTTTTGTATTGAGACCACTGATTGCATAATTCTCCGACTTTCAACTTACTGTTTTGTTGTTGTAAGCTGTTTGTTTCGATCCAACAACAACAACAACAATAACCTTTATTTGCATGACTATAATTATTTACAGTATTGCAAAAGGTACGTAAGATAAGAACGAAAAGATAAAGAAATAATTATGATATTAATAACAGATAATCAAGTGACATAATTCTTACATGACAGTACACTGTCGCGCAAATTATTCAATAATTAAGATAAATATCTTCGGAGTTCATCGCTCGGTTTAATGACCAGGTCCGAGTAAGATAGCTGCTGAAAATTACGGAGATGACTTCGTATTTAAGCAAAAAATTAATTTCTAAGTTTTAAATACTTTGGGCAATAGCAGAGAAAGTGAATTTCATCCTCAATTTCATTGGAATGACAAACAGGGCATAATCTTTTGTCTTTGTCTTTGTCATAAGTTTATGATTGCTCACGCGTAATTTTACCAAAGCCTTTTTATCGATTGTTTTTCTAGTAAGGTTTAGATAACTTGAAATTTCATAACAATGTTTAAATGTATTATAAAACTCTAATTTCCTTGTATATTAGAGAGATTAAAGGGAACCTCCACTCTTACTACACAATAAGTTTAAATCGAATAAAATTATGTTGATAAACAAATTTGTTCGAAATTTGTCTTAAAAAAAGTGTTTAAATTTTAAAATCGCTTATTTTCACTTTCAAATTTCGCGGGCGCCGCCATCTTGAATAATTGTGACGTGTTACGGTTGCTCTGTTGTTCTTACACAAAGAGCTTTTGTTTAATAACAATAGGGCAACCATTACACGTCACAATTATTCAAGATGGCGACGCCCGCAAAATTTGAAAACAAAAATAGGCGAATCTAAGAGTTATTTCTTTCGGATACAAACGCTTTCTTTAAAAATATTTTAGATTGACTTGACTGTAACAGTTATTTCCTGTGATTTAAAGTTATCTTTTTGTTGAAGTTGAGGTTCCCTTTAAGATTCACGTTTACGCCAAACGGCAAACGTGAATTTGCACCACGTGACCAAGTTTTCCCCCTATTTTTCGTTTACCGTTTATTGCTTCTACACCAAAATAAGTAGTTTTATGCTAGTTTTGTCCACAAGAATCGTTCTGGACCTTTTTTAACTGCTTATTTTCTATTCTGAGAAATTCTCCACTGACGTTTGCCGTTTGCCATATGCGGTAAACGTGAATCTTAATCTCTCTATTAACTAAATACCGCCACTGAGTAATAATATTATACTTTTGTTTTATTATATCTTTAAATCTTGATATTTTGCTTTTATCTAAATTGCTGGGAACAAAATCTGGTAGATCATAAGATTTGGATAATTCAATAATATTACTACAAAAACTAGTATTGCCATTAAAATGAAGATTTATAGTCAAGTAATGCTTGTTTGACAATAGATTCTTCATCCTTCCTTCTCAAAAAGATACATAATGTAGTTAAGAGTTTTTTCATTGATGACAACAATAGACCTATTTGGCCAATTCAAACCCTTTGCGGATAAAACGTTTTGTTTTAGGAATTTCCATATCATTTAAATGTGAATGCGACATTATAATGCAAATACAATACACAAAGAATCTTAACCCCGGGAGATTTGAATTGTTTACAACATTGAGTTACGACGACGAACATATAACTCCGAATTAACTTCGAAATGTATAGGTAGCCTTTGTCAAATAAATCGCGTAAAATACCTGTTTGATAGGCGTACGTTGATCACTATAATTAATTCCCTCGTATTCAGTAAATTACTGTATTGTTCATCAGCATGGGCTAATACCACCAAGAAAAACATCGAGCTATTACAGACAGTGCAAAATTTTGCAGTCCGGATAGTTTCTGGAACAAGGAAATTTGATCATGTTACACCTATTCTTAAGCAGTTACAGTGGCTGCCAATTGTTAAACAACTTAAGGTTAGGGATGCTACCATGGTATTCAAATGCTTAAATGGACTTGCACCTCCATATCTTTGTCAGAAGTTTAAACCAGATCGGAAGTGCACAACTTCAACACTAGGAATAGGGACCGCCTACATATACCACTCTGTAGGACGGCTGCAGGTCAGCGCGCGTTTACCTTCAGAGGCCAAAGGCTGTGGAATAGTCTCCCAGACGAGTTTCAGTCTATCACTAACTTAGATGTATTTAAGGTTGAAATAAAACAGCATTTTTAAGGGTATTTTTGGAAAACTAAGTTTTAGCTATTTGACATTGTAAATTAAGCTGAAAAGCCTTTTTGAGGAGATTAATAAAGTTATTATTATTATTATTAGTTAGCCGAATATGTCTATTAATGGAAATCTACCTAATTCACCTCCACATGCCGCGTTAGGAGCCTTATTACCTACTACCAAGTATCGCTTGCAGAGGACCCAGTTACGTCAGGAGAAACTGCCGCGAAACTGAGCTTTCAAGAACTGGCGAGAGGGCCCTTGGGATGCTACTCTAAAAGAACCAGCTCCACGACTTATTCGAATGCTTGTCTGTGAATGGGCACCAAAAATAATTTTGTAAGCAATAAGAGGCCAACATCTATCACACGCTGCTTTTGTGATCTTCTTATACGAAGAGTTTTACCCACAACCACGACTTTTCGCCGTACATGTTTGGCTTTTTGCAGGAGAGCTTTTTCCGAGAAGAGTTTTCAGCGCAAATGGGGCCCACAAAACCACAGAAATTCTATAAGTGGTATAGTTTTTCCGTATAAACTCATATATTTATTACGCATGCAGCAATTTCATACTCATTTCACACAAATAGATGATATCAATAGATCGAGTGGAAACATACATGGAAAGGGTTACACGGAAATCTTTCCCGATAATTTAGCATGTCAGCCTCCGAATAACCGTTGCCTCTTTTAAGTCGAAAATCAATAAGCGCCGCGGGGCTCTTTCAAAAAATATATAGAGGATATTATACGGTGGCGCGAAGATATGAATTTTATTTTCGAGTGAACAATATTTTACGAACGAGCGCAGCGAGTGAGTAAAATATTGTTTTTGCCACGAGAAAATAAAATTCATATCCTCTAGCTGCCGATCTCGGAGATGAATTGGTCGCTTGTATTTGGATTAAAAGCAAATCTCGACCTCTTCGCTTCGTCGAAGGCCTCTCGACTGCTAGTCAAGAATCCTCGCAGTCATCTGAACTGTTAGTCAAAAAGCCAGATATCAAACTTTGCATGTTTAGAATCTGGGGCGGACTTTCCAGCTGCTGCGATACAATGGTTATATTAATACGCAAAGAGTAAGGTTCTATAAGAATAAGGCTGACATGTATATTTATTAGTTGGTTTGATTTCATTGCTTTTTTGTTTATTAAATTCTCACGAAACTCACCAATCCAACCTTTTTAAACAAGATTCAAATTGCTACTTATTTAGCTTCATCCATAAATAATCAGTGAATTTCCGGCGAGTCTGGTCTAGAGATTCTCGCAACACAAAATGCACAACGCTAAAAAAGGTTTAGTAGTTCAGTTATAAAATCGATCATTGTTAATTTGTTACAGTATGAGTAGTATCGCCAATATAAAATCTGTCAGCAATGTTCATCTGTTATCAGAAAAATGTAATTCGTGTGAAATTTTGATAGGTTTTCCTTACGCTTGAATTAACATTCGCTCGCTTTATTAATGCTTTATTGACATTTTTTTCCTTCTGTGACGTTTTTTGGTTTTATAATACAGTATCTGTTCTTTTGTGTGCGTGCGGTGCGATTCCAGAACACACAAAACAGATGAAACTGGATATAAACCGGACAACAACGTTGGTTTGTGTATTTAAAAATTTCCGGATATAGTAAATTAAAAAAGGAGAGAAGTAAAATTACTGACCTCCACTTTCGATAAGTTAGGCTTTGCCCGTGAAATGTTTCCTTTCCTCACGATTGGGCATATTTGGAAAACCCATAAACAAGCTTAAAAAATATGTATATCATATCAATCTTTCCTCACGCTGGTTTTGAAATTGGTTTTGTGTCGACGCCTTTACTTGGACCCAGACTCCTGAATCCAGTTATTACTTTTGATGGCAGTAGATCAATCGACTCGCTCTTACAAATAGGAAGGCGATGTAAAACGACACAGTAAACGGAATTAACCTTACTGACAGTTGCTTGCATTTGAATTTTCTTATCTCCAGATCAGATGAAAATTGGATACTAGCATCCCAGTTGTATTAAGAAGCCATGTCAGTTTACAGCAATTCCGATTCAGCTGAAGTTGTATTAATAGTGGTCCATTCTGTACTCGTCATCGTAAATATTGCCGGAAACGTTCTGGTCTGTGTCATCATTCTGAGGAATCGAGATATGAGGTATGCGGGCAAAAAAAAGGTGCTTGATTTTAGAGAGGAAATGTGACTGCTTTTCTTTGGGACGAAGGAAATTGACGGTATATACGGGTGTCCGTATTAAGCGGGTGACCTACTGTACCCTATTCTTCATGTACTTTCTGAGCAGCTATAACATATTGTCAATGCTTTATTCTACAGGACTTCACTCAACTATCTTATTCTTAATCTGGCTGTTGCTGATATCACAACAGCCCTATTTTTATCACCAAAGTACATATTTTCCCACTTCATCGCACACCCAGAAGGAGCAGCAGGCACCGCGCTCTGCATTGCGTTGACTGGTGGAATCATTGGATGGGTCGGCGCTGCCACTGGAGTATTTTGTTTGGTTACTATAGCTGTTGAACGTTACTACGCCGTGGTTTATCCATTTGAAAACATGGAGGCGCTTAGTAAACGTAAACTTAAGGTGTGATAATTTCAATTTATCATAACTTGTAGTAGTACTAAGTGTATTCGTATTTCGATTACCTTATATCAAAAGCCAGAAGTTAATTCGAGAAATCATCGCGCCTTGCAGACTATTCAATTTTATGAAGCGTTTCGTGTGACACTGAAAACTGGTTTCCTTAAGTGTTCGTTATTTATTTTATCAGTCAATAGATGATGGCAAGATGATCTCCCTTTAACTGGAGAAAAGTATCTTTCGCGTGTTCGATTAGCAACTCAGTATCTGTTCCCCATGTCTTGGAAAATAAATTTTCAGCAACCTTTTTTTTTAAGAGAGATTATTTTTGTCTGTTTGATAGACTAATCATATTTTTATATTCTTTTTTGTTTGTTGTTTTGTTTTGTTTGTTTGTTTTTTCCATGCGTATATAACCGTTTCAAGGTCAATCGAAAATCACTCTTGACTATCAGGCAAGCAGATAACTGGATGATCTAAGGGCTTCGCGCAAACTGCATGATTCGTCTGCAAGGCAATGCCAAATTCTCGGGTGGCGAGTGAGATCTTTACACGCAGCCAAAGAACATCGCTAGTCAGATTGTTAGCTTGGTTAAATAAGAAATAAATAAATTGTTTTTAAGACTATACTGATGCAAATAATGACAATGATGATGATGATGATGACGATAATAATAAGTCATCATCAGTGTTACTTGAACCGGACTTACCATTATTTCCTTTTTTACACTTTTAAAAAAATGATAGCAGTTTCAAGGAATTTTTGCTTTCAACAAGCGACAGTTTGGATGCTCTTCGTGAACTTAAGTATAATTGGTCCAGAATTGATATCCAGCCTAGTCGCAGATATATATGCTGATTTGTGTGCGCTTCATAAAATAACCTCACCATAATTACTCCCTTGTTTTGCTTGATATCAAAACAGGTGATAATTCTTAGTACTTGGATTTTTGGGATTATCTTCAATATTCCATCGTTCATGTACAGAAGATATAACGAATATTGGAATTACTGCATCAACACGTGGCCAAGAGAGTGGGTCGGCAAGGCCTACGGTCTTTATTGGTTTTGTCTGGCAGTCCTCTCTACTTCTCTCATAGCCATATTGTACTTCCGTGTGGTGTACACTTTGTGGTTCAAACATGAGGACAGGAGAGAAAACAATACGCAACAGAAGGTAAAGTGATTTAAAAACATTATTGGGTATTGGATAGTAACCCATATGGGAACACCACATAGTTGTCCTATATATTATAGGGATGATGTTTATCACTTAGTGCAGGTTATTATGCATATTTCAATGTACATGACATGATTTATATAGGCAAGAAATAGGTAGACTGTGTGATATGCTGACTCAGAGTAATACAAATTCCTGATAGTGCTTTAGCTCTACCTTCAGTTTAAAGTAATAGCATGCGCATTTCCAAAGGTATCTGCGTTTTGTTATTTTAAAATATATAGATGGTTTTCACAGTGACGTCATCAAATTGTAAAGTCAAAATAGCGAGGTTTTACGAATTCTTATTTACACTAGGTTGATGATAAACAAAAAGTTAATCTTTGTGCAAGTTTTCAGTCCCATAGCATGTTTCATTTCGAAAATACAGCAATTTGAACTTCCGAGTTTTCACAGTGCGTGACACCAAACTAGGAATGCTGTCTCCTTGAAAAAAAGTCCCTCCTCTTGATTTTCAGTAGTATAACCATTTCAAGTATTAGAAGATATGTTTATGCTCACGTATGCTAGTTCTCAAGTGAAAAGAAGAAGCTTTTACAGAAAAAGTGTACTCCAGATGTTTTTGTTGATTTTCGGCGGCCATATTGGTGCACCAAAACTGTGCACCAATATGGCGTCTCCATACAAAGCTCTACAAAGATGCGTGAAACATTTCGGCAAGTAACTCAGAAACTGTGGGCCAAAAAGACCTGAGACTTGGATAAATTGTTTAAATATTAGTCTTTCATAACATATCATTTTCTTGGCTTCTTTCACTGGACGGTTTTCAATTTATTTTTTTGTTGCGTGACAGTGAAAACGACCTATATGTTGATGCTGTCTTAGTGTTAAACTGAACAAAGAAACTGCACTGAAAGAGCGCACGCTTGCATGAGTTTCGAATCAGTTCCCAGGGTACTTAAATTTAATCTTTAAACGGGAATTTTTTCTGGGAACAAAAGCATCAAGATTTCTGCAGATAGAACCCTAACCCTAACCCTGACCCCACCCCCCACCCCCCACCCCTTCTCTGAAGGTCTGGATCCGCCACTATGCAGTAACTAGTGCGCGACGAAGGCCGCGCCGAGACTCTGAATTCTGCAAACGTTTAAAAGGTGAGAAGCTAAATGGAAGTCAGAAAGTCTGTTTAAATGTGAGTGAGTAGGCATGAAATTACTTTTTTGGGCTTTAAAAAAATGCGTTTAATTGATGGCGGTCATAACCGGGTAACCCCAATAACGGAATTGCAACGCAAACTTCATCTCTCTTGTGCCTGTCTAATTGTTTGTTTGTCTTTTTTTTTTTAATAACAGGCGGTTCTGAAGATGCGAAAACGAGCTACCTTAATGGTCATACTTGTCAGTGTTGTCTTTGGAGTGTGTTGGGTGACTGACAGGACCAACTACCTTATGGTACAGTTTTATTCCCATACGGGTGCATTTCTCTCCCTAGCGGCATCCAATACGATGGTTTTGGTCAATTCTGCTATCAATCCAATTGTATATGCATTGGTCAACTATCGTTTCAGAGAAAAGGCGAAGAGGATGATACAAGTTCGTTGCTGCCGCACAGCAGTTCGCCCTGCCGGTGGACTGCAGGTGATAGCATCTCAGTCACGCAGGGCAGGTGACATCTCCAGTAAATGTTAG